CTCCTCTTCCAAGATCCAAAGACTGCATATATCATAATGTGGGAAATTATATATAGATATAAAACATTTACTTCTTTTTCTTTTTAAAAATTATAATCATCAGGTGAACTTTATAGTTTATAATTATATACCCTTTCCAAAGCTTTTATTCCTTCTGCGTATTTTTTTCTCTGCATTAATGCAAGCCCTAGCATGTAATGACCCTGCAATTCACCTTATTATAGTTAGTTGTTAGCCACCCAAATATACAAGGAAGTGTTGGTTAGTGACTTAGTGTTATTAACTTATTATAGTAAGTAAATAAGTTCATATATCACTGTATTATCAAAAGTTTCACGTAGTAAATAACGAAATTTACAATTTTCTTTTAAGGAAATGGTTTCCTTAAGCCATGTGTAAGATGATTAAACAACGACTACTCTGCTAACTATGTATTAGTACATACAAGAACTGTATGTCTTTCAATCCTACAAACTTAGTGGTGTGATTAGTGCAAATGGAGAAACAAATGAAACAAATCAATATTGAATTTAAAAGAGAGAGTATGATCGAGACCTTGACAGAATTATGATTAAGTTGAACAGCCTTTCGACAGTCTTCCTCAACTCTTGTCCAATCACTACAAAGAAAACATAGGCAAAACATGAAACACAAGATCAAAACAATTAAGTTCCAAAAGAAAAAGGTGATTTTTGACTTTTGATGCTAAAGTGGGCATATGCTTCCAACAGTTCAACTTGAAAACTGATAACTGTAAATCTTGACTACTACATTTGAAAAAATATATGTTACTGTGGTTATCATAACAGCATCCGATTCAATTTTTGGTTGAAAACGACTAGGGTTGACTGATTCACTCTAATTTCCAAGTCTTTCTAAGCAACGAAGCAAGAAACAAAACCCTAATGACATAAAAGAAAGCTTAGTAGAAACAAAAGGTTCCGATCATACGTACTTGCGCTTGCGATGGCATAAAGCACGATTGGTCCAATAAATCGCAACATTAGGGCACAACGTGATTGCCTGAAATTTTGAAAAAGCGAAAGCGAACCAAACAGGCATTTTGTCAAACACTATGATCATGAAACAAATCCAACTTCACAAGAGATAAAATCTTGAAAAAATACCTCCGTATAAGCATCGATTGCAGCACCGAATCTGTTCTTCATGAAATAGAGGTTACCATCAAGTTTAAGTTGTTCTGCTTGCATGGCCGCCGAATTCACGCCCTTCATTATAACCAGTCTCTTCGCTATACAGAATTCCCTACACGTTGCTCTCTATACTTCTCTCTCTGAAATCTTTTGACTAAAGAGAGGAATTGTTTGTGATGGATGTAGTAGGAAGTGGAGGAGGCAAGCAACGCGTCGATGGCAAGTCGTATTGGGTGATGAAGACTAAAATAACAGGTCGTTGATGACAGTCGGATATGATTGGTCTGTTATTTGATCGGAAACTTCTCTTCTGTTGCAATAGCATCGCTATCGAATAGTGTTAATCCTACGGTCAACAGTTGAGAAGTTGAGGGATATTTACTGCACTTGTTGCATTGTAAGTTCCAAGTTGTTTCACACTTGTGGAAATTTTATTGATAAAATATTAAAATGTGATTATAAAAAATATAATAGAAAGTCAAATTGCTCATAAAAGTTTCATGCTTTCATTATCAATGGAATTAGTAAATGTTTATCTTTTTTAAAATGGTTTTTAATCGATATTTAAAATGGTATAAATTATGTATGACTATGTTTTGTAATTTTGTTGGTTCTAAATTTCCATATTCAGTGATTACAAGATCGTAACAAAACCATCTTTTAGATATGTTTTATAAGAGATTCTATACATTTGGTTGATACGATACGATTCATGGATGTTCATCTTTATCAGTATGTACCAATTAGGATAAAAAAAAACAGACATTATTTCTTGGTTTTTATATTTGTTTTCATCTAAAGGAGAATATTTGATTTATCTTTCTTTCTTAATGAACTGTTATGGTATATAGGGTTGGTGCATCTTATAGTAATCTATATATATTTTATACTATAAAAAAATAGTTTTTCTATATCACATCCATCTGAAACTCTTAAACTTTTTATATTTCATTCTAATAGTTTTTCATGATCAAAGTAAAAGAGTATCCCCGAAAAGTAATGTGACATCCTCGATAAGTAATGGTGTATCAGGAATACCCCATTGGCGGAGGTATTACTTGTCGGAGATACCTCATTACTTTTCGGGGATACTCTTTTACTTTGACCATGACTCTGTTATTTGCTTATAAGCTATCTAAAATTTATATGATGAAATAAAATGGCATTTAAAAAATATGTTTTCTTAATTAATTAAGGGGTATATTTGGAAATTAAAAAAAAAAACTTTTAAAAAACCAGTCTAAATAGCTTTTTAAAACGCTAGCTTATAAATTATTTTTTTGGCTTGCCAAACATGACAACTTAAAAAGATCGAAAAATAAACTGGTTTATTGGCGAATTTTGACGTGTCAAACATAACATTAATCATTAAAACTTTGATTATTATTAGTTTTTTTTCTTTAGATGATATATATTACAATCTCACGCTAATAAAAAAATTGATCTATTTATTTAATCATCATTTAAATTGGACACACGTTTGAATCATAGATCCGTCACTGCATGCACAGACAAAACACTATGTTACATATACATCACGTTCTCAAGTTCAACTTAATGAGAAAAAAGGAAATGAAATGAGAAGAAAATAAAAGAAATTGGTGTTTCCGAGTTTCATTAAAGTAGGGAAGTGGAAGGAAGTGGAGGGAAACGGGAAGATCACTTTCCCTCCTAACTTTCCTTCCGATTTGGGAGGATTTGGAAAAAAGAATAAAATGATTCATTTTCCTTCCACTTCTCTCCAACTCCGGAACACAAAAGAAAATTTTGTTTTTCTTTCCTTTCTCTTCTTTTCTCTCATGACTTTCTTTTCTCTTCTTTTCTTTTCTTTTGTTAAACTCGAGAACAAGCCGATAGTGTATCGTGTTAGGACCTAGAAGACAATATGATGTCTATATGTCAAGAATGGAAGTTTCTTATATTTTTTTGTTTTTATTTTCATAAATTATTCCTTAAATTATTATTTATGTAAATTATAGATTTAGTCCATGTGGTATTCACCTTTCTACCGGTTTAATCATAATTTTGAAACATTGATACCAATTATCTTCATGGTTTCAAAAAGTCATCAACATTTGGTCATTTCAATTAACACCGTCACAATGTTCCTCTAGGTCTAAAATAAAAAGACATTTTTGCCTTTGGTCATTTTCATTATAGTTTTTGTCCACGTGGTATGCTCTTTTGTTATACACATCCTTTCATGTTTCTATTATTTAGATTTCTAATTTTGGTTTTCATTTAGGTTTAGGATATGAATTTGGTTTGATTATATTTCATTGATATCCTCTTTCGATTTTGTAATGGAGTTAGGTTGGTTAACATTAGATTTAGATCTTGGTAGGGTTAGAATTAATATTGATAATGATTTCTAATTTGAGTTCATGCTTGTATTTGGTTTCTATTCTATAGATGAACAAATAATGGGTTAACATAAGATCTTGATTATGATTTTCAAACATTGATTTTATGTTTGGAAATTTAATTTGGTTATGATTTTAGGTTAGGTAATTGAAGGTGGTGTTGATGACATTAGACTTGTTACAAAAAAGAGTAAATTACATGAATTGTTTCTTGTGTAAGTGTCAAAAGACACGTTCAATCTTTATTTTTAAAAATTAACTCATATCATCTTTTGTTTAGTTAAAAGTTTCATCTCTCATTAATTTATTTTGTTTGATTAAAAGTTGCACATTTCATCCCTCGTTAGTTTTAGTTTGCACGCTTCATCTTTTTTCAGACATAAAGTGACTATATTGTCATTCCCATTTTGTTTTTAATTTACTTATAAATTATATATAATTTGTTAAAAAAATTACAACCCCACCCCAACCACCATGAATTTATGACTTAATATACCCCTCTTCTTTTTACTATAAAACCTTAAATTTCTAACCCAAAAAGCATCATTAACAACAACACCACTGTTGAACCATGATTGTAGGGGATTAACATCGTCGTCACCAACAACCGACAATCCACCACCACCTCTCTAGTGTGCTAGATACCTAAACAGATGACTACATCATGTTTGTGGAAGCTATAGATCTACAAGCTACGAACCACCATTGTCGAAGCACCACATCTCTTCAAACAACCACCTTCTGCTGAAAACCAACGGTTATGTAGATCCTTCTTGATCTTCACTTAAAACCCTAGCAACGTTATCATCACTTGAAATCGTTGATCTCCTTTGAAACCCTAACGCCACCTGACAACCATCAATCTCCTTTGTTTGAAACCCTATTTCTAAGGTGGTGGTTGTGTAGGTCTCCTAAAGGAAGAGAGGATATATATATATATATATATATATATATATATATACTACCTTATAAAAGAAATCTTACTATTTCTAAAAATAGATTGAATAAAATAATATTATTTTTTTAAGACGTTCAAGTCTCTTAACTTAAAGTACAACCATTCATTAATATAATAATATTATCATATCTATCTTACAAATTATAATGCTACGGATACAAGTATTAACAACATATTTAAATCAGTTATTTTGAGGATTAACTAGGATTGAATTAGTATTTTAAACCATTTTGACCTAGCTTTCTAAAATTTTGACGTATCCAATTTAAATGAAATGATACAAAATGTAATGCAATATGTATAAGTATCGAATGCAATACATACCCGACTTCTTATCATTCCATCTTATCTCTGTTTATTTGACCTGGTCTTTAGCCTATATTTCAGTAAATAAATCCCAAATTCGAAAACTCTGATTCTCCTCCACCCTTTTCGTCTTCCTCTATGATATACGTTTTCACTATCTACTAATTCATTTCCTTTTATTACTCTTTTCTCTATGTTCTGTGATATAAACCGTCGAGTATGTCACCACAAATAAGAAGCATCATCGGCACCTTCGATAATGAAGAAATGATAAACTTTCACCACCATCGCATCAAAGTCGTCGCCTCTAAGAACCCTAACCCTAACCAACGTTCACAGCCACCGCCAATGGCTCAAACACCATTATCGATTGTTGTTTTGATTTCCAAGCTCGTGTGTTTCCTTTTATTCAAGATTTCCTTTAATTTTATGGAATAATGGGATTTTGTTGAGCAGATATAACGGTGCTCACATCTCCACCTCTGTCGCTGCACGCCTCCACATTCGGCAGCAGTCACCATGACATTCACCACCATTACTGATCATCTGAATCTTATCCTTCATCTTCGTTTTCTCTCTAACCAAATCCTAGATCCATTCACATCTCATATTCGTATTTAGCACCATACTGGTAACAAATTCTATCAGATGATTTACCCCTTCACTGACCCTCTTAATGTTTATCTTTATGTTTTAATTTTTGTCTTTTAATCACAGGGTATGCAATTTATGGAGTATATTTCCATAGAGGAGGTAATTCTTTCCTATTTCACCATTTAACGACTCCTTTTTTGTGTTTAATTGCATAAATATTTGATTATGATGGAAATCTGATATGACTTCATGTTTATATGTGTTTCTTGGAGTTGTTTGCAAAGACTCATATTTTATTTGGTTTCAGAATATTTGTAAAATTTTTGCAGGAAGTGGAATCTGGAGTAAGAAAGTGATATGAATCAGAAAAACAGGGTTTCACAGGTTCAATTTCTTCATTTCCTTATCTGAATGTGGTAGTTTTGGCTTAACAGATTCGATTTCACAATCTCATCGGTATGTTTTCTTTAGGTTTGAACGAGGCTTTTCATATCTAAATGAAAATGAACCAGAACCCGATTAAAATCGGGTTGTTATTTAGGATTTGGGACTAATGATCTACTTTAATACAGGAGCCTTTGATTGTATAACAATATGTACTATATAGTGATTCACACTCATATGTTCATATGTGGATACTTACAATGATAACAGTGGTGAAAGCATATGGAGAGGTAATGGACTCGAAATACGGAGAGGGGAAGCAGATCTGTGTTCTTTCTTCTTTTTCGGTTTATCTTTTTGTTGACATAAACACAAACATAGATTTGTGCCTTTGATATTTTTTCACCTGGTTCACTATGTTTTTTATTTATGATTTTAGTCCTTTCTGACCTAAATTAGGGCATTTTTTAAATGTCAAGACTTATTTGTTGTTCTTTCATTTCAGTATTTGATGAAGAAGTTGATGCTGAAAAGAACAAAATTATGAACACATCTTGGTAAGGACATCTTGGATCATTGCACTCTCTCCATGGATGTTTATTTCATTATTTAAGTTTATAATTCTCCAAATATTTGTTGGTAATGATACATGTTTCTCATGCCTGTGTATTGCTACTCAATTACAAGATGTGTATGAAATATTTTTATAAATGATTGCTTTTATATATAATTTGGTAGTGGTCTGTTTTGAGGAATTCATTGTTTTAAATAATTAGTTTATGTTGAATCCGTGCTAACTGGATTGTTTAGTGTTGTAGGTCATTGATTTCTCTTGCTGATTCATCTTTAGAAATGGTTTTACTACTCTGTTCCAGATTAACTTGACAATATTTACAAGTGGTTTAATATATAAATTTACATTTAGAGTTACTTTATGAATTAGTGTGTTTATGAGGGTGTTTATATAGCAGCAAGGTAAGAAGGAATTATCAGTTTTTATTGGGTTTAATTGTAGTTTGCAGGTTCAAGGGGTCCCTTCTTGAAGGGGAAGTATTCAAGAAATCATTAGGTGTTTATTTAAAAAAAAATTGTTATGAATTAAATGTATTTATGTATGTTTTTCAATTCATTGGTTATATATTCATCTTTGAGTGTGTGAAGGCTTTAGCCGTAGAATCAGACCTGGGAATTGTTTTTGGTGATATGGTTTGAAACATAATCAGATGAAATAAATATTGTTCATTTTTATGTTTGTTTTGAGGACCAGACATCATTTAATTGAAAAGAACAAAAAAAGAAGACATAGTACATGTTGTAGATTATGTGACCAGTGACCTTTAGAGCCACTTCACACTATTACCCTTGACACATTTCTAAAGTTTCATTAAAATTGAAGCAAGAGTTGATTGGTTCTACAGTTTTAAGAAACATCATTGTGGGATTAGGCTATTTACTTTTGGCTTACAATAGTGAATTAGTAGGAATTTGCAAGCATCGAGTAATAACATTTATTACTATTGTGGGTATTATATGTTATTATAAGCTATTAGGTTGTTTAATGGTTTTATGCTTGTGTGGTAGGTGAAGGTAGTTGCCTTAAAGGCAGATTAAGCTGCCTTAAGTAAGAAATGGAAAAAGAAGAAAAATTAGTTGCAACATTGGCAGCGAGAGGCCCGTGAAGGAGTAGAGACTTCCATTCGGTTACATCTTCATAGTACACTGCTATTAGTGGTGCAGTAATGTTATGTATGTTATATAAATATTCAATATTTTGTTATTTATTTTTTTAACAGTTTGTGTTATATTCTATTTTTATAAGTTCTATTTTTACAACTTGTGCTTAGCTTCCTGGGCTTCTCTAAAAAATATGCCACGTTTCTACATAAAATAAATCATTGGTTTTGGTTTAAATTAAAACATGATTTTACCAAATGAATTTGGCTTTAGCTTGAAAAACCTATCAAATAATTTAAAAATAAAGTTTACATGTTACTTTATTCACTTATATGGAAACACCTTTGATGACATGTCCTCTCATCTTATCTAACTTTTGAAGGATTTTCAAAATAAAACTAATTTGCATAAGAAACTTTTTCGTCTATTATTGAAAGGAAACTAATTTTCGAAAATAAACTATTCATTGAAAGACTGGTTTTGTAACGCGATATTTGATATGGTTTTTTGGTTTAGAATTCGTTCATGCAATGGATGTTGTTTATAATATGATATTTTTTGAAATAAGCTATTCACCTAAAGAAACTACATTCCGGAAAAAAAAAACTATTTGTTGAACTATCCGATGCCGAAAAGTAACTATTCATTTCCTGCTAACCAAGAAAGTAGTCCGGCAAAAGCCTAAAAGAAACTCTCTTCTGCCAAAAAAAACTAATTGTTGTATGGAAGGTATCTGCCGAAAGGAACCGACGCACAACCATAAAAAGACAACCATTGTGCGGAAATTATTTGCCGAAAAGAATTGGCTTGCGCGCTGCATCGCGCGGGTATCCAACTAATATATATATATATATATATATATATATATATATATATATATATATATATATATATATATATATATATATATATATATATATATATATATATACTCTCCGACGATTATGTTAACAAACATGGTGATGGTTTTGGCCGTCGGCAATTAGGCTTTTAACAGATCCGGTGATAGTGTTGGTCGTCTATGAGAGAGAAAATGGAGAGAAGCGATGGCTTCCGGTGGTAGTCGATGGTGGGCAATAGTAGTCAACAACGATGAATGATGGTTTCTGGTGGAGATGCAATGGTCAATGGTTTCTAATGGATAGAAGAGCGAAAAAGTCTTTTATGTTTTATGATTTTGAGATGATAGTGTTCTTTCAAAGACGGTGAGGGTGTATGTGGGAGGGCTCCACCACCTTTCTAAAAAAATTAATTAATAATAAACAAACAAATTAAATTAAAATGTTTTTAATAACTAAAATTAATCAGAAACATTAAAAATAATTAAAAAAAAAAAAAAAAAAGATTTTGAAAAAGGAAATATAGTCATTTTATGTTGTTTAGACAATGTGCAACTTTTTACAATTTAAAGAACAATCCAAATTAATTTTTAGCAAACACAAATAGAACATACATTTTGGCACCTTACATGAAATACGATTTGTCTAATTTACTCTAAAAAAAATTATTCTAGTTAAACATAAATAAATAAAATGGCAAAAATGCGTAAAAGACATTCCCATAATTAATGGAGGTCCTTTGATGATAACAATCAAAAGGACCAATCGTGATGGATTTGGAAACCACTAGATATCTTTAAGCTTACACTTTCGGCTGATGGATTTGGAAACTACTAGATATCTTTAAAGCTTTTGCACTTTCGGTTCAGGTTTTATGTTACAATTGAGTCCCTATGCTTACGCTTTGTTGTGAAAAAAGGTCCTTTCCTTTAACTCCATAAAGTTTTATTGCCATGTTCATTGCAAAAAAGGAACCTTTTCTGCCCTTATTCAAAATTAAAGTTCTTCATCATACAAAAAGACTTGCATGTTGCGTTTCAGAAAAGATGAATCATGAATCACCCTCCTATCTATACAACTTTCAATATAATAAACTGATTATAAAACACAACTATGAACAAAGATGAGAAACAAGTCGCAAAACTCCTTATACTCCAAACCATCAACCAACTTTAAAAAAAATAAATTAAAAATAAAAACAAACCAAAAATATTTCAAATGTTTTTTTGATAAAATTACAATAACTGAATCCAATCAAACCTGATATCATTATCAGCTTCCAATGAGAGTGGTTCCATGATCTTTACTACTGTTATCTTCAAATCCATCCACAAATGACAATTCTTGTCTTATGCCATTAACAAGATGCATAGCTTCCTTGTCTACCTTCAATGGATGCCTCTTCAAGCTCTGTAATCAATAAAATCACATTTACAATCTTCAAACTTTGTAATCTTAATATTTAAAAAAATAATAATAATAATAATATACCTCAGAAGCCCATAAGCAATCTCGTGCCCTACGAGGTATTATATGAATGTGTGTCTAAATCAACAACAACAACAACAACAACAAGATCATTCATCAGTTTCTTACACGTTTTATGAAATAATAAAGAAAAAATAAGTTTTATTTTATTTAACTATTTAGTATTTATCAGTTCTTGATACTTACATGAAATATAACTTGGCCTGCGTCCACACCATTGTTCACCAACAAGTTGAAAGAATCTGAAAATGTCAATTAATATTTAGGGAATAATCTTGAAATTTGCTCATATTCTTTTTTTTTTTTTTTTTGAGAAAAATTACCAGAACCAGTGGCTTTCATAACTGCCTTGCTAATATAAGGGACTTTGGAGCACATGGCAGCTACCACCTGCATAATTACCAAATCATTTTAAAAATTTTTGAACTTTTTCTCAAAGTGAGATTAATATTTGTTATATGTAAAGTAAGAACTTACAGATGGAGGAGTTGCTACCAGAGATGGAAAATGGCTTCTTGGAATAATAAGAGAGTGCCTGATGAGATGGAAAATAAATTACTTGGGGCAAAATATCATATTGTTACATGAAAATGTAAAGCTCTTGTAAACAAATCTTGTACATATAATGATGCAATGAATTTTAATGGTATATTATAGATATGATAATTGATACCTTACCCAGGGCTAACAGGATTTGTATCCAAAAAGCATAGGCATGTATCATCTTCGTATAGCTGCAAGCAGATGAAATTGAATGACAATAAGAAAGTTGATATCATGTTGATCATTATAAATTATGTTAATCTAGATTCTAGACATACAAATTATGTATGAAACATTAAAGCTAAATGAAACCAGTAAAACTATGACAGCCATGAGGGAAAATTCCCATGGATTCAACAATCATGTGAAAAGCAACTCCATAAAGAAAATAAGTTATGAATGCTCATGAAAATGGCAGAAAAACTGGTGAGTAAGATACCATGTGAGAGAGGCCCTTTGCGTGCAAGTCATTTTTTGTCACATGCTTTGCTTACTAAAGACTACTAGACCTAACAGAAATTGTTGCAAAATTCATCACTTCAACAAATACGATTCTGATTTGCTTGAAACCCTAAATACATGATTCTTTGTTATTCAAATAGCCTTGTTGATTAATGGCTATTGCAGAGGTTATGATAATCCCAATGAGTAGTGAGAAATCTAAAGTCCATATTTGCTCTAAATTTGGGCATTTAAACAAACACAAAGGAATAAAATAATTCATCAAGTAACTCGATCAAGCATCATACATAATGCATGATTCGGAAACAGCTAAAAATCCAACTCAAAGCCAAATCAAATCCGAAATCCGAAATCAGGTATACCTTTAAAGCAGGTGCGTCGCCTCGAATAATCTTACAGAAAACACAATCAGCCTCGAGATTGCGCAGCTTCTCAGAATCTGAGGAATTGCAATGAGAGGGCGAGACAATAGATGAAGAAACATTGGTCATAGTTGGTGGAATGGGAATTTGGCGAAGATGAGAAGCGATGACGGACAAACGACGTCCCTGTGCGGCTTCCATTATAAATCAATCAATTGATATCAAGAGAAGCAAACTAGTGTCGTTGTGATGAAGTGAGTGATGAGCATCACCGTCGGCACCACCATGGTCTGTCTGCAATAGAGGTGGTTCCGATTCAACACGGCATGTGACGCGAAGATGAAGATGAAGATGGAGGGTTTGGGGATTTGTGGTGCAGACAGCAAGGGGTGAGAGGCCTCTGGTTTCGTTGGCTATGGATAATCCACAGTGTATGTGTATGTAAACGACAAGTCAATTGGTATTTTTGGGGATGGATTTAGGGGTGTATAATACGGGATTTAGGGGTGCATAATACGAGAAAGGGGGAAAGGTAAATTTTGCACGAGTTTATTGACTCCTATATCTTAAGTTGACTTTTTATATATAATTATTATCTAACTATGTCCCCAAATTTTTTGAAAAGGCGTTTATCTCATAATCTATAGTATTGTATAGACAAAATTACATTTTTAGTTGTTTATAAAAATCTTATTTTTAGGACAACTATAGGAAATAGTAATGCCATGCCGCTTGTCATTTGGTTTTAAATTGTTACATGATTGGTCCCTCATCATAACTTCATCTCGTTAATGCCGTTAGACATGGGGCGTGTTCGGTAAAACTAGTTGGTATATGGTAGCGGGTAGCGTTTGATTTTGGAGCGTTTTGTTGAAAGCTATTGCATGTATCTTTTGATTTTAGAGCGTTTTGTTTAGGTTAAAATCTAAACGTTCCTGTCGCCGAACGAGACTTTTTCTTTTTACTAGCGTTTTCTTAAAAGCTAGAAGCCAGAAGCTTCCAAACACTACGTATCGAACACGTCCATAAACTCAAGGAAAGTATTTTGGTCTCTTAGTTGTGACCCTTTCATCCTTCAAGACATGAGGAGATTCTCTAAAATAAATGGAGGTTTCGGAGTTAGCAGCTTAGTTGCTTTTAATCAAAATTTGTTGTTAAAATGGAGATGGAGGTTGGTGAACAATCAAGATACTTTATGCGTATGAATTATTAGATATATACACGAGTACAATGCAAGTTTTAATCCGGATAGTCGACTTTCAGTCACAGGGGTTTGGTCTTCTATTATGGATTCGATTTTGAATCCTCATCATATACAAATTATTCCTTTGTCTACTTTGAAGAAATTGGTTGGTGACGGTAGAAATACCATTTTCTAGAAGGAGGTATGGATTGGAAATGAGTCTTTAGGATATGCGTTTCCGGGATTGGCAGCCCTTGATAGTAACCCTAATTGTCTCATTGTAGATATACATAAAGATGGTGATTAGAAGTAGGTTTGGAGGTCGAAGCCGAGAGGTAGTGCACAGTCGACCCTACTCTCATGTATGTTGGTTTTGTTAACTCCAATTGATTTTCGAGACAATTAGGGTTCATGGGTTTGGGATATTACTCATAATACTGAATTTACAATTAAGGCCACAAGGTTGTTACTTGATGAGCTGACATTACCTCATGGTATGATTGAAATAAAGTGGAGTAGGCAGATTCTAATTAAAGTATTTTTTTTAGTTGGAGAGCTTGTATGAATGTATTCCATACTAAAGATTGTTTGCTTCTTAGAGTTGTTGATGTTCTGAGCTCTCTTTGCCCTATATGTTTAGATCAAGTGGAGAAAGTTGATCATATTTTTTGGTGTGTGTGATTGCTAGAGCCTTGATGCAGAAGATAAGTCATTGGTGTGATTTTGATATCCCTTTATTAAGTTCAGTTCAAGGGTTTCATTACTTTATAGATTTGGTTAAATTTTGCATGGAACCTTTGAACCGAACACAAAGAGTTATCGGAACCAATGTCAAAAATAGCGACATTATTCATCAAAATAATCATACATCAAACGTTGGTGGGCAGATTCATGATCACTCTGTATATATCTTCTTCGTCTATGTTGCACATTTCTCACTTCCTCGTCTAATTCTTGTTGTAGGGATTAACAACAGTGACTGCGGCTTGTAGTAAGAAATATAAATCACCAGAGGAATATGAAAATGATGATGAAGATATGATGATTGTTGTGGTGTAATTGGGTGGGTTTGGGTTAATATTTATAATGGTTTAAAATTGAAAAATAAATAAATAATAGTCGTTACCTTCATACTCTTTCTCCTCTCTCATCGGCATTCAAATATCATTTCACCTTGAAGAATTCGACATACCGCCATGGTGTGGTGTGGACTAAATTTGTGACATTTTTTTTTATAAAAACCTTACTCCCTCCCTGATATTGCGCCTCATATATTTCCCTCCACCCTTGATGAGCCTCCATCATTATCGTGAGCTACAAACTTAACTACAACATCACCCACCAATACTTATGAACACCCCCTCTTCTCACATGCATTTCCATACCAAATCAATATTTTTGCTTTTCAAGTCCATCTGAATTTCATAGTAAGCAATTAACAAAATCCAACATCCCTCCACCGTTAACCCACCAAGGCACCAACCAAAACTACAATCACAAATCAACCACCACAAAGATTGATCCCACCATCATCATTTTCCCTTTCTATATCTGTAGCCTTATGTAATTGATCCATCATGTTAGAACATATATTCTTTTGAAATCATTTTTTTTAAATAAATAACACAAGTAGCACTCTTTTCTAAAAATATGATTTGATTTTATTACTGTATACTTGTAATCACATTCTTTTCCAAAAGTAGAATTTGATTTTATAATCGTATATTTGTAATGACATTATTTATTGAAAACATAATTTGATTTTATAATCGTATACTTGTAATCACATTTATTTCTGAAAATACGATTCTTGTAAAATACTTCTTGTAAAAAAACAATATTGTTAATGTAGCATGTTTTTCTAATTTTGTAATCGTACGAAACATGTTAGCATAATACGACCTATGTAAATGTTTTTTCTTGTAAAATACATTTGTTTTTTCTGGTTTTTTAGAAAATAATGCATCTAATAATTTTGTGATTTATTTTGTTGTCTTGAAGCAGTAGCATATACAAGTGACAATCCTTTTCTTGATTATGTAAGATTTTGGTGTATTATCCTAGAAAAAAGTATTCATTTTGTTATTTTATCTACACATGCATATCGGAAAATAAAGCATTATTGAGTTTTTTTTTGAACAACAAATACAAATAAATGTTAAACTACTTCTAAATTATTCCATCTCTATGCAAAATATGACTTGAACCTCGAAGTCAAAGAGGGAATTGATAGAAATGAAAAGTCAAGTTAACTGGGGTTGGTACTTTACTACTTGGGATGATCTGCCATAACTCTGAGGCCCATTTGTCAATTGGAATGAAAAGTCAAATTAATTGGGGTTAGTACTTGGGATGAACCGTCAAAACTCAGGCCCATTTGCCGATCGATTTCCATATAAGTATATTTTTGGACAAAGTTGCCAAAATGGTAATGAGTACGTCGAAAATTATTATTTTGTTCAAAAAAAATTGGAGTAATATTATTTGTTAAAAATTTTGATTTTTTTTTTTTTTTTTTTTTTTTTTTTGTAGTTTGGTCCATTTTGATTTAATTTGTATTTTAAATAACAAGTTTTTTTGTAATGTATTTTTTTTTTTTTTATTACAAAAATAGAAAAAAATACACACCCACCCCTCTTTTTCTACAATACCCATCTTCCACTTCCCTTTGATTTTAACACCGGAAAAATACCACAACCACCAACGGTTGCTGACAACATCGATGCCACTATTTCTATCTAACCAATATCGCTGCTGCCGTAGATTTGAACCATCGGCGTTGTCGACGTAGATTTGAACTTCCAACAATGGTTTTTGATCTCTGTTGTGAAGGGGTGGAGTGAAAACGGAGAGACGAAGTTGCCACCATTGCCACCTATACAAACTCTAGGAAACTTGTCCATATATGTGTCACCACCTTCACAACATCTTTGTTTTTCGGGTGAGAAAGACGCTGAAAGGGTAAGAAAGAACGACAACGACGTCTGTCATCACCGGCGAGATTGGGTGAAGCGAGAACGACAACGATGTTTTTGGCTTGAGTTTCCAGCACCAACGCCGCATCTGCAAACCTTGTCTTCGATCTATGTGGTACAACGAACAAATCCATATTTGTTGCTCCAATGAAGGTGGCGTTGACAACATATTAAATCCTTGTGGTTTTTGATGCCTTTTCTGAGGTGGTTTAGGGTTTGCAAACCCTTGTTCCGTCTGTATCTCTCTTCGTCTCTCTCATTCTCCTTTTCTTTTTTCTGACAACGATGATAGTGACTTCTGATGGTGGTGGTTGTGATGTTGATCGGTGATGGCGGTGTAAGTGATGCACCTTGTATATAAGAAGGCTCATGTGATGTGAAGTGATAGGTGGTGTTGCTCTAGCAGACAGCAAATGGCGGTTGTCGGAATCTTCTCCGCCGGATATCGATGATGTTGAGGATATTTTCTTTTTATGAAAATCATAAATAAGGATATAAGATTGAATATAAAAGAGATAGGGGTAAGGAATGGGGTTATGTGGTATTTTGTTTTAGCTTTTTGTTTAATTATTGTAATAAAATAAAAATGGAAATTGAAATTGTAAAGGGTAAATTCATCATTTTTAATATTTAAAAATTAAATACCAAAACCATGACAAAATGAAAGTTTTGTACAAATGGTGCAAGTCCAAAACTTTAAGAAGCAAAATGATAATTTTGAACAAACCACATTGATCTTTTTTGCAATTTTGTCATACTTTTATAACATAAAGGAATTAAATTTTGATTTCAAATTTCACAGTAAGTATTACGGATAAGAAAAATAACTTATTCCGAGTCTCGGTTACTTTTCTTTTTTATTGTTTACTGAATTGAACACTAAGTATAAATGACATAAAAACCCTTAAGTTTTCAAAAAATGATGGTTTTACCTTTGTCGTGTTTTAGGTTCAGTAAAGTCGATTGTTTTTTTTCTTTTTTTTTTTTTAATTTGTTCATCTATATCATTTTAGTCGTTTTCGTGTCACCAACCGGTTACCGGATGCCAGTAAAGCTCTTAAGTTTTCAAAAATGTTCGAATATACCCTAATGTTTTTAAAATGTTCGGATTTACTATTACTTTGATTATTATTATTATTTATTATTATTATTATTATTATTATTATTATTATTATTATTATTATTATTATTATTATTACTAATACATTTTTAAATATATAAAAATAATTTTATTGATATAAATATATTTATTTAAATATATGTACTTGCATTTACTATTTATATACATTTGAAAGCTTATGTATTCCTTTAAAATCGTATTTATATATTTAAAGTATATTTATTTGTATTTAGTAGGTATAAATATATATTTATTTAATATAAAAACATATCGTATATATATAAATATAAAAATACATATTTATAAGGTTTATATTGTATAAAAAATATTATTATATATATTTATACAGATCATTAAGTATAAAAATGTATTTATTTCATATTTATATGTACACCATATGTATTTATACATATTTATATGGTAAAATACATATAAATGAAATATTTTTTTTTTATTCTTTAGGTGATTCATCAACCAAAACACACAAAAAAAAGTTATTGGTTTTTTGCTTACTAACTATAAATATGTATTTTTTTCATATATATATAATATATATATATATATATATATATATATATATATATATATATATATATATATATATATATGAAATAAATAAATAAATAAATATATATATATGTATTTATATATATATTTCATATATATATATATATATATATATATATATATATATATATATATATAAAATACAAATAAAAATATTATTAAATGTACAAATATGTTTTTAAATATATAAATATGTTTTTAATTGTATTTAATAGATATACATATGTATTTATTTTGTATAAAAACTATCTTATACATATAAATATTAAATAAACGCATATTTATACTTATTAAGCAAACACTGTTTTTTTTTTTGGTTGATGTATCATCCAAAGAATTAAAAAATATGTTTCTTTTATATGTATTTTACCATATAAATATGTATAAATACATATCATATACATATAAATATGAAATAAGTACATGTTTATACTTAGTAATATGTACAAAAATGGATATAATTATATCTTTTATATAATATAAACCTTATAATTAGATATTTATATATTTATATAAATACAATATGTTTTTATACGATATATATTATATATATATATATATATATATATATATATATATAAAGTATTTTTATTGTATCTTTATCAATAGTTGCACAATTGGTCCCTTGAGGAAAAAGGCTTCATACAACATGGATTCGCGGATGATCAACTAGTACGTTGAGCGTACGTGTAGTACGTCGGGCGTACTAGCCCAGACTCCAAACCCTAATATTAAGGGTTTCTCCCTATTTAAACAACATTATGTCCCCATTTGATCATCCTTATCAGCCACGATACCCTCTATATACCCTAATTTCGAGTTTGAGTTGCTTGTGTGAGTTATGCAAGCTCATTGAGTGTTTTTGGTGCATTTAGTTGAAGAAGGTGACTAGAGAAGAAGGACTGGGTGCTAGAAAGCTTGTAGATCCAGAAACATTTCCTCTTTGTGCATCGTTTTCAGGTATAAAGTTTATACCTTGATAAGTTTTCCATTAGATCTATATGGTTGACGTTTTATGAACTTTTGTCCCCATGATTGGACCTTTATGAGTATAGAGCACTCCAGGGGTTTATAGTTGTCCTTTCATGCATTATAGAACTTGTAGAATCATAAAAATGATTGCTTGATCAATTCCTATGGCTCAAGCATGAGCAAAGTATCTTAGAATGTGTTGGAGGTTTAAGTTTGTTGCATTAGGACTTTTCTAGCCATGCAAAGGCTTAAATTCGATGACTTTATGGAATACGACATCTTAGAATGGTCAGATCTATAGTTTGGTTAGTTGTCTTAAGGGATTAAGACACAAAGTGGGTGAAAGTAAAAACAGAAGAAGTACGCCATGTGTACTCCTAACTACACCCCACGTAGTCGATTCTGACCCGACCATACGTTGTTCGAGTTGTACTTCCCGCGTAAGAAGGGGTACGCCTAGCGTACTTGCTCGACAGTTGACTTTTGTTGAATTTTGACATCTGGTTAAGATTTAGGGTTTTAAGCCATGGAAAGGAAAAATGGTATTTTCGCCCTTAGATGACTTAGTTGTGGGATTGGTCTGGTGAGTTGAGTTTTGGACCTTAATTACTAATTAGGGTTAATTATTTTGTTGATTAGGTGGAGTCTAGTTCCAGTAGTTCAAGTGTAAGGTTTACTTGTCGTTAGTATTAGGTGAGTGTGGTAGAATAGTTGTATCTGTGATGACTAGCTAGGTCTACCTGTTATTATTATATTATGTTGTTATTATATGACTGAGACTGTTGATAGTTTCCATGGTTGTTGACAGGGTCGGTCAATTGATTTTCAATGCTCGGGGCGAGATAATAAAACCATGCCCCCTTATTTGTGCAGTTTTGCTTTATGAAGGACCGAACACAAATATAAATATCTTATAGAAAAAAAGAGTGATAGATTATATAATCAAACAAAATCTATTAACACAAACAAAAACATACTAAAACCATCTAAACAAACAAAATTCATATTAACACAAACAAAAACTATCTTATTAGTAATTCCATCATCATAGTCGGATATCATACGATAATCAATCACATGTTCTTGTAGTTCCAAATATATATTTCAAAATACTTTGTATATAAAAGCAATAAGAACATAAAATACAAAGGTTTTACGTCAGGATATGCACAATCTACTAAAAATGAGTCATTTGAATCGAAAGGAGACTGATTAGAGCTTTAGTGCAAGCAATGACGGTGTCAAGCAATCTCATAATACCCTATACATACAATTAAAAATCAAAGCCGTATTATTATAAAATATTTAAAATATGTACCTTATTAGGCTTGGCATTTAACCAAAGACCCTTGGAAAATATACAATCAAAGAATAAGATCCACTGTTCAAGTACAAGTTACAAAACGTAACAATGATTTCTAATAAAAGGATACATAAAGGTTCTATATTAATATAAACTAATGACTTAACCAATAAGCAAATGATCTCTTTATAAGGCTTAACAATAAGAATAATATTGTTGTGTAATGGAAAAATTGCAACTTGACACTGGAAAATAAAACTCAATTCACTATTACCACACACAATCCTAAGGGAAAATAAGTCTAATCCTTTCTATAACAAGTTAACAACCAATTAAAATCCCCAATCCTAAGGGCAAATAAGTCTAATCCTTTCTATAACAAGTTAACAACCAATTAAAATCCCCATCCATTCTTATTATATACAACATCAAACATCTACTATCTCACCTTGTTGTTCTGTAAAAATGATTGTAAGTAAACTAATATCATCACATTACAACCTCGTGAATTTCCAATTCCATCATTCTTTCTTAACTGCACTGTTTCGCCTTTCCAATTTACACTAAAAACTAGAAAAAAGAAAAAAAAACCTTCCAAAACCCTTGAAAAGAAAACAAGATCAGAAAGATAAAAACTTGAGAATTTCACAAAACTAGTCACCAATTAGAATTATAAATAGAAATAAAGGAATATATCCATGTTTAATAAACAATTTTTTTTACCGTCATTGCCTGCTTGAATCTGCAATGCGTTTGATATTTCAAGGCTTTTGCAATGCGTTTGAAATTTGAAGGCTTCATTCATAGTTCAACTTTCAAACGACGGGCAGAGGCTATTTCTTATGCTCGGTATCTCCTCGATTTCCGAAATTGCATCATGTGCAATTCCTTTATTCTTCCAAAATTAATGTCATAGACTTGTACCACATTTTCGTTTGCCGCACTTCAAACCAATGTGTTGATGGCTTGACGCATCCTACCTTAAGCTAGACTCACTTGGATGGATTAACATTTGGGGCATAATGAATATAAGACGACTAGACATGAATTGAAATTTATGCCCCAGCCTTCTTGATGCCCTCGGTTGTGGCCCATCTTGCCCGGCCCTTGGGCCGGCCCTGGTTGTTGATAACCCACAAAGCATGTTGTTAGCCTACATGGGCTGCTGATAG